TACCCCAAAGAGAGAATCTCCCTTCTTCATGGTTATCACCCCCCTGGCACCATTCTCATTCCCCCAATAAAACATTCAAGCCATATCTATAGTATCGACCTAGCAAGCAATAATAAGTTATTGATTGAGATTTATAGCCCGGTTTCTGCCCTGCTCTCCATAGCATGCAAGAGTATTTCTCTGGCACACTCCATCTCGCAACAGTTGGCGTGCTTGGGGTTGAGATCCAGCATGGAGGAATGGGACTGGTGGGTCAGAAAGAGATTAGGAAAGCACAGTCCTTGTTGAGCCTTGGTGACTTTGGGCCAGTCACCATCTCTCCTACTCAGGGATGATATGTGGGTAACATAGGATGAAACCATTAATTTTATTCCTTCCTTCTGATGCAGGCATTGGTATGTGACAGGAAAGTGAGTTGGTGCTTGCAGGCATTACTGGTGCTTCTGGTGGTACTCTCATTGGCTCCCAGTATATTTCTGGGCACAATTCAAAGTGTTGGTGCTGACCTTTAAAGCCCTAAACGGCCTCAGTCCAGTATGCCTGAAGGAGTGTCTCCACCCCCATCATTCAGCCCAGACACTGAGGTCCAGCTCCAAGGACCTTCTGTCAGTTCCCGCCCTGCAAGAAGTGAGGATACAGGGAACCAGGCAGAGGGCCTTCTCAGTAGTGGCACCCGCCCTGTGGAACACCCTCCCATCAGATGTCAAAGAAATAAACAACTATCTGACTTTTAGAAGACAACTGAAGGCAGCCCTGTTTAGGGAAGTTTTTAATGTTTGATCGTGTTTTTAATATTTTGTTGGGAGCCGCCCAGAGTGGCTGGGGAAACCCAGCCCGATGGGTGGGAGGTAAATAATAAATTATTATTGATAATATTGTGTCTTTTGGTGCTGCACTGTCCCAATTTTCATCAGAAGAATGTTGGAGGCTATGGCTTCTTGCCCTTGGATGGTGGCCCAGGAGGGGATGTGGGCCTGAGGCTGAGAATTGTTCCCCAGCCCTGCTATATATGGGTAGACAATATGCTTGCAGGGTTAGGGTTAGGGTGGGGTGGGGTTTGTGGGGCTATTTAAGCTACAGGCTCTCCTGCCTGCTTGCCTTGGCACCCACTTAACCATCCCTGAGGATGGACCAAGGAGGAAATCATCACCTAGGAACCAAAGCAGCAGAGGGAGATGATGAGAATGCCAATGATCATGATGACTGGCAACGTCTTTTTTGTTTTGTAAATTTATTGATTGATCCTTATTCAGAGATATACAAAAATGCATGGCCGTTGCAAAGGTTCTTTTTACAATATGCTAAGAGCTACTTGGGGGGACGCGGGTGGCGCTGTGGGTAAAAGCCTCAGCGCCTAGAACTTGCCGATCAAAAGGTCGGCGGTTCGAATCCCCACGGCGGGGTGCACTCCTGTCGCTCGGTCCCAGCGCCTGCCAACCTAGCAGTTCGAAAGCACCCCCGGGTGCAAGTAGATAAATAGGGACCGCTTACTAGCGGGCAGGTAAATGGCGTTCCATGTGCTGCGCTGGCTCGCCAGGTGCAGCTTGTCATGCTGGCCATGTGACCCAGAAGTGTCTGCAGACAGCGCTGGCTCCCGGCCTCTAGAGTGAGATGAGCACACAACCCTAGAGTCTGTTAAGACTGGCCCGTACGGGCAGGGGTACCTTTACCTTTACCTTTTAAGAGCTACTTAGGGATGCGGGTGGCGCTGTGGGTTAAACCACAGAGCCTAGGGCTTGCCGATCAGAAGGTCGGCAGTTCAAGTCCCCGCGACGGGGTGAGCTCCCATTGCTCAGTCCCTGCCATTTACCTTCCCGCCAGAGCGGTACCTATTTATCTACTTGCACTTTGACGTGCTTTCGAACTGCTAGGTTGGCAGGAGCAGGGACTGAGCAATGGGAGCTCACCCCGTCACGGGGATTCAAACTGCCGAACTTCTGATCGGCACGTCCTAGGCTCTGTGGTTTAACCCACAGCGCCACCCGCGTCCCTTGTAGTACACAGTACCTAATGCATAATTAAAACAAACCATTTTAGACAAAGATTCTCCCTCAACGTAACACCATGGAAACTAATGCTAATATGCCCAGGAACCTCACCAAAATACTGGAGAGGATGCACCTCCACAGGTACATACCTCCACATGTGGTGGGAATGTCCTAAAATCCAACTCTTCTGGACACCAACCATACAAGAAATATGCAAAATAACTAAGCAAGTATTAGAAGTCACCCCAGAACTGGCCCTACTATACATCTTCCAAGACAATAATGGCCACTCACAACACACAGAGCTCATAACCCACCTACTCTCAGCAGCCAGAAACATCATAGCCAGACACTGGAGAGACCTGTCAGGAATAAGCATGGACCAATGGTATCAAATAGTTTGGGAAACAGCCTTATTAGAAAAACTAGGCAACAAAATGACACGGGGACAAATAGAAGAAGACACCTTCACCCCGGTATGGTTCCTCTTTATCACATATGCAGCCCAACAAGACAATAACAAGAACCCGCCGACAGCATTCAAATCAATCTGGCTAACCTGATCCAAACACACACACACACACCACTCACACATGAAAACAAAGTTCACTACAGCCAATCACAAACAAACAACCACACCCTAAACCAACCCCAACCTCTTTCACTGCTAAAGGAATACAAGCGAATAGTAAAGAGAACCCACACAAGTGACGCTGACACAAAACCCCACACATACACTAAGTAGAATAGAAGCATCCCCACCCCACCCCACTCACCATTCCCACCTCCTTCCCCCTTTTCTTCCTAATGTAACCTTAATGTCTCACAGCAAATGAAACTGATTTGTAGAAAAACGTAGCTTGAAAATAAACCAAGAAATCTTTAATAATATATATATATATATATATATATATATATATATATATATATATATATTAAAAAACCCACATCATTATGAATTATCTCTGCCAATCTGGTCCATCCAAATTTTGAAGAGGCACCAGGAATCCCTGTCAGATTTGACCTGCACTCCCTCCATTTGGAGGAATTGTCCAGCAACCCATCCCATCATCTGGTGAAGTCCAAGCCTCAGGACCCCTTTCTCGGCTTGCGCGTCTTCGGGAAAAGAGTCGTCCTCCTTTGCCAAGGATGCTCATGCATTCTGATGCCTCATTATGCTTTAATGCAAAGTCACAGCTCAGTCACCGAGTTGAGAGAGCCGGGTCGGCTGAGGCAACAAGAGAGATAGATACAGAGAGAGAGAGAGTGCTGGACAAATTGGACAGGCATCTGGAGATCTGGGTCACACCAAGCCAAGGTGAAAGTCACACCTGCTGCAGAGCTGTCTGCCAAAAAGGAGGGCACGAGTTGAGCTGCGCCTTTGCCCCACCTAAAATTTCACTGGCAGTCAGTAGTTTGTTGCACGCTGCCAAGCTGCATTACGTCCTGCCATAGGCTTTTGGTACACATTTTGCAAGCCCTTTTTGCATTTTATGTGTCTGTTTGTTTCGCAGTATTCATATACCACCTGATTGCAGCAGTTTACTGAAGCAGTTTACAAAAAGAATGAAGCAATGAAATTATTAGTAAAAACAACTGAAGCATTTCTTTAAATAAAATAAAAATAAAATAAAAATAAAAGCAGCAATAAACTAAAAACACTCCAGCGTTCTAGAATCTGAGTAGGCTTGTTTGAACAAAAACGTTTTTAACGTGGGCTGAAAAGAGTACAGCGAAGACTTCAAAATGTGGGTGACGCCACACTAAAATATCAATTTCTTATAGATGCAGAATGGATACAGCATGGCACCTGCAACAGTGCCAGTTCTACATAAAATAAAATATGCACTTAAAAATAACACACTTTTCAATGCATTCACCAGTAAAATACATATAATGGGATCTATCTATTCCATAAAATTTATGCCCTGCTTGATTGTAAACAAACAAACAAACAAACAAACAAACAAACAAACCTCAAAGTGAATAGAATAAAACAATAAAACAGTTAACAACAATTTGAAACATTATTATTATTATTATTATTATTATTATTAACCCAGCTATAAACAAAAAGAGAAGATTAAAACACACATCAGGATTCGAGATATTCTAGTTATCTGGGTAGGCTGGTCTAAACAAAATGGTTTTAGCAGGTGCTGAAAAGAATGTAACGAAGGTGAATGTCTGATATCAATAGGCAGAGAGTTCCAGAGTGTGGACACTGCCACACTAAAAGACCAAGTTCTTACATGTGGATCCTGAACTGGTGCCAGTTCCACAGAATGAAGTGTTTGAGTGGGCATGGGAGAGGTAAGGTGACCTCGCAGCTAAACTAATCTAATGGTGAGATGCGCCCTTATCTCTTATGCACTCAGTAGATCACTGCTGTCTGTGGGAGAGTTCCTCCTGTCAGTTCCAAAGATCTCAGAAGTCTCCTCTGCAGTAACTCAGAGGAGCAGGGCCTTCAGTGTGGCTGCCCCTATTCCACAGAATAACTACGGTTTCCAGAGTTCCCTGGAAAGAAAGATTGATGGTTAAACAGCTCTGAGAACTTATTGGTGGGGGGAAAATGGAGGTCTCCTAATGTCTCTCAGCACCCATAACAAACTACAGCTGCCAAGATTCCTTATTGGAAGCCAGGACTGTTTAAAGCGGTATGAAACTACTATGGTGTGGATGCGGCCTACCTGAACTGCTTTTCTTTCTCATCATTCTCTCTCCCCTCTGCCCCACAGATTTTGACCCAAATCAGGCTAGGACTGGGGGGCAAGGGAAAGGGTACAATGAGCTCCTTTGCTAAGCCTTACTCCTTCCATTCCTCGAGCTGATTCTCAGGCTGGTGGAACAAAAGCAATGCCTGTGTTTTCATCAAGGTCATGCATGTTCGCCAAGGTTGTGCAGTTAATGAATTTTCCAAAGGTGCATTTTGAGCTAATGTAGGGGATGCTGGAAAGGAAGGTGCTAATGATCTAATTTGCATATCATTCTCTCTTCTCCTCCCCCTCCCCTATGGCTGTTCCTCCAGGAAGCAAACTGCTAATTTTGGTGCTGTGCTTGAACTTCCCATCGGAAGCGGAATCCTGCCCAGGGGCTTGCGTATGCTACAGCGAACCCAAGATCACCATCAGCTGCCAACAGCAAGGACTTGGAGCCATCCCCACCGAAATCCCCATCCAGACTCAGCGTATCTTCCTCCACAGCAACAAGATCACCGTGATCCGTTCCACCAGCTTCACCTCCTGCCGGAACATGTCCATCCTCTGGATCCATTCCAACAACATCAGCCTGATCGAACCCGGGGCTTTCTACGGGCTCGACAAGTTGGAGGAGCTGGACCTCAGCGACAACACCAACCTGAGGTCCATCAACCCTTCCACCTTCCAAGGCCTTGTCCACCTCCATACCTTGCACCTTGACCGTTGTGGCCTCCTGGAGCTCTCCACAGGGCTCTTCCGGGGGCTATTCTCTCTGCAGTATCTCTACCTGCAGGACAACAGCTTGCAGAACCTCCTGGACGACACCTTTCTGGATCTTGCTAACCTCACCTATCTGTTTTTGCACGGGAACAGAATAAAGAGTTTGTCGGAAAACGTGTTCCGGGGGTTGATCAACCTGGACCGACTCCTCTTGCATCAGAACCGGGTCAGTGTGATCCACCGCAGGGCTTTCCACGACCTGGGGAAAGTGATGACCTTGTACCTTTTTAATAACAACCTGACGGTGCTGACGGGAGAGACGATGGCTCCCTTGGTCTCCCTCCAGTATCTCCGCTTGAACGGCAACCAATGGGTTTGCGACTGCCAAGCCCGGTCGCTCTGGGATTGGTTCAAGCAGTTCAAAGGGTCTTCTTCGGAACTCGAGTGCCACCTGCCCGCTCACCTGGCAGGGAGGGACCTCAAACGGCTGCAGAGCGCCGACCTGGAGGGATGCGTCGACTCTTTCAACCAGATCAGAACAAGCGTCTTTAGCACTAAGACCAGGACTGGCAAATTGCCAACCGCCGACCCTCCTCTAAGCCCCCATGATGGTGGGCGGAAATGCTGTCAGCCGGAGATGGATAAGTCTTTTATTTATGAAGCCAAAGCCAAGGCAGGCCCGTCTTCCCACAGCAGCCGGGCCTCCTCCAACAACCCCCTCAAGGATAAGGAAAACATCGCCAAAACTAAGCCCCAGGTGGAGACGGACCCTTCCAAAAACAGCAGCAACAAACAGATCAATGACTCCCCCTTTGGGACCTTCCCCAGTGCAGTGGACCCTCCACTGACCAATTTGAAACCTGAGTTCCTAGGCCCCATCGAACCTTCGACAGTCCCGACCAAAAAGAGGCAGGGGTGTTCGAAAAAGAACAAATCCAGATCACAGTGTCGCATGGCTCAGCCCACGCAAAGTACCACCTCACGGCTAATCCCCAGCCTATCGATCTCTCTGTTGGTGTGGAGTCTATTCTGGTCCTGTTGAAACGACAGCAACATGTCTCTTGTTTCCCTCCCACCCCTTTCCTCGAGGAGTGATACTTTAATCCCAGGACTTTTGCTTAAAAAAAAATTAAAACCATTAAAAAAATAAAAAAATAAAATCACTTCCACAAACAAGAAGAAAGTTGAGCCCAGAGGGGGGGAAATACAAAACAAAAACAAAACTTGGTTACACTACGAGTTAACTGGATGCCTTTATAAAAAACAAAACGTTGTACATAATTTATTTGTTCCTCCTGAAATTTATGTGTTTTAATTTTTAATTATTATTATTATTATTTTTTCGTCCTTGGAACTGCACTTGCCCACGAGAGTCTATAGCCACAGCTGATGGTTAAAAAGGGGAAAAAAGAGAGAGAAAGATTTACCTATGGAAAAAAATAAAATAAAATAGAAAAAAATAAAAGATGCAAATATGCCATTTTCAAAATGTTTTCCAAAGTGTTACTTGTAATTTGAAACCATCCTTGAATGATGTTGCAAGTACTGGTACCCACCTACCATTTGAAGAGGTGACGCAACGATTTCATTGCGGCTCCTGCGTTTCCGATTCCTGCAATTTAACCATCTTTCCACCTTCATTATTCCGCCATGTTTACAGGGGCATTTGTTAAAGAATGCATCCCTTTCATCCCCTCGAGACTGCAGTATATATATAAATTATATATATATATATATATAAAAGATATGCATTTTATTTTACTTGTGTACAAGTTCAACAATGACAAAAAAGATATGAAATAAAGGTTTTCTTTTCTTTTTTTTTGCCCCCTTTACGGTGTCCTCTGCACACGCAGAGATGTGCAAACAGACAAATGTCTCACGTATGTCAATCCTGGGTTCTCCCTTTTTTGGATTTTAGCTCTTGCAGTCACCACCTGAGGCGGGCTGTCAGCTGGAAGGGAGGTGATGAATAAGGCATGGAGCTCACCATTATGCAATCTCTAATTGGCAGCAACAAAGGATTTCATCGCACGAAACCCATTGCATTAATGGTACGGTTCCCCTCCTCTCACAAGCTCCCTGCAGTCTCTCCTAGCATCATACATATTTCACATGGCCCAGAATAGAAAAAGGATGTATAAACCAGGCCCCAAGCCAAGCGAGGAGAGCAGAAAATAAGAATGAAACCTTGAGGATTGACAGGAGTTGTTGGGAAAAAAGGGGAAATTGGGAAGAGGTGTGTGTTCAGTGTGCTATCTGCTGAATATTTATATACGCATGTGTTGTGTAGCTGAGTCACGTCTTTTGGCAGGTCTGGGGGATTTTCTTGTGTCAAAATATGCAGAGTTGACGCGCTAGGATTTGCAGCTTTCGCAGAAGAGCTAATCACCTTTGGAGTCTGAACATATTGGAGGCAGCGACGCTTCTGAATGCCCGTTTCTGGATGCCACAGGAGAGAGCTTTTGTGTTCAGATCCTGCACTTGTGGGTTTTCCTACAAGCATCTGGCTGGACCATAGCTGTCAACCGTCCCTTATTTGGCGGGAAACTCCCTTATCCCAGCGCCGTGTCCCGCTGCTGTCCCTTATTGATGATGTCCCTTAAATTTCCCTGGTTTCAAAGGAAGCAGCTCCTCTCCCTCCCTCCCTGCTGGCCAGGGAGGAGGGAGGCTCCAACTGTGTTGCTTGGCTGCGTTGCTCACCCAGTAAGGAATCTAAGAATGACTGGGGGGTGGAGCTTGCATGCCTTGTGCCAATCAAATCGGCCGCGTTGCCTGGGGACTCACCTTTGCTCAGCGCTTCCCAGCGGAGAGGTGATGGTGGTTTTCCTTGCTGCATCCCCTTTGCCGGGTTGCTGCGCTGTGGGAACCACCACATGAGGCTTTGTTTGGCTGCTGGCTGGGCTTTCTGCCTTTGGCTCGGAGGGGTCAGAAGTTGAACATACCTGTGCCTGGAAAATCCCTTATTTTGGCTGCTGATCCCTTATTTTCGAGGCTGCTGGTCCCTTATTTTCAAATCTGTAAGTTGACAGCTATGGACTGGACATGAGATGCTGGACTAGAGGGGTCCCCTCTTTGACCTGATTCAGCAGGCACTGCTTCTGTTCTTAAAAAGTTTCTTGGATATTTCCACTGCTAAGTCAACCTGCTGCCATCCAGATGGACTACAGCTCCCATCAGCTCCAGCCAACACAGCCATGGAGTGGATGATCCAAGCTCCGCTGGTGCAGAGATGTTGCAACATTGCTTCTGTGAAAACACACACACACACCTGACTGGAAACAGGCCAAACTAGATTGGAGCATCATGCAGACAACAGACAACTACAGTCCTCTTAGGTCATTGCCTTCTCCGCTGGTTATATTCATGGCAGAGGTAACAGTGATAGTGTGTACGGAAACCAGGGATCGATGAAGCTGTCAGATCTGGTTTCTGCCACTTTTTAAGTCTTGCATCCTCCATGCATCTGTATCAGTATGCGAGTTATTTATTTATTTATTTTAAAAAATCCTCAGAGAAATCTATCGGCATTTGGGAATCTAACTATTGCATTTACATCCCCTTTTTCTCTTCAAGATCAAGATGGCATGCATGGTTCCTTGCCCTTCCTCGTTTAATCCCTACAACAACCCTGAGAGAGGTAGTGACTGGGCCAAGGGTCACACAGTGAGCTACATTGTCAAACGAGGATTTGAACCCTGATCCTCTAGGTTCTAGTCCGGCACTCTAACCACTACACCACCCCTCTTCTCTCACACACATACACATCCATTTACCTTTTTGTCGCCTTCTGCATGACTCTCAAGGTGATTTATACCTTTTTTTAAAAAAAATAAACCAGCTTAAAAAGAGTCAACCACAACACGGAAAACAGAAGACTTTTCATCCAGCTGGGAAAGCCCATCGAAACAAAAATGTTTCCAACTTTGTGCAGAAAGGGTTGGCAGAAGGAGCCTTCTGTACACCAACAGGAATGCTATTCCACGGAACAGGGGCAGCCACAGCAAAGGCCCTGCTCTGATTTATGGCAGGGCAGGCTTCTGACATCTCTGAACAGTATTTCTCTAGTATACCATATTATGGGCCGCAATTGTCCCTGAAACAATGCATTTCTATTTTATGTCATGTATGCAATTTTTTTTTACCATAGATATGCATTATTGTGCATACTTTCTTTTGCCAGAGAACCACATCACAAAATTTGGAGAAGTGTGAATTTCAAAGGGTAAACCACATTCCTGTTATCAGAAAGTTTCTGGAAGTGTGAATCAGTTAAACGTGTGTTAAAATGGAAACCAAATCAGATTCCTCCCCTATCCCTAAGCAGCACCTCTCGTTCCTGAGCTTTGCAGGGCTGTTTCTGCTTCCTGGAAGCATCTACTCAAGAGGAAAACTACTGATATTTAGGTGAGCTTCAGAAGAACCAAAATATGCAGATAGAAGATGTAAAGTAGCATTGAACATGACTTCCTGCATAGGGTGTGAGGTGGAAATAATCTATCCAGTTTGTTTGTTTTTCCACCTTTCCTCCATGAAGCTCAAGTTACTGTACAAGGTCCCCCCCCCCCTTATTTAATCCTTACAACAACCCTGTGAGGTAGCTTACATGAGGAGTGAGTGACTGGCCTAAAGTCAGCCAGTGAGCATCATGGCCGAGTGGCTATTTGAACCCTGATCTCCCAGGTCTGACTCTGACACTCTTCTTCTTTCTTCTTTGGCGATCACTTGTAGCCGAGTAAGAAGAAGAAGAAGAAGAGTTTGGATTTGATATCCCGCTTTATCACTACTCGAAGGAGTCTCAAAGCAGCTAACCATCTCCTTTCCCTTCCTCCCCCACAACAAACACTCCGTGAGGTGAGTGGGGCTGAGAGACTTCAAAGAAGTGTGACTGGCCCAAGGTCACCCAGCAGCTGCATGTGGAGGAGCGGGGAAGCGAACCCAGTTCCCCAGATTACGAATCCACCGCTCTTAACCACTACACCACACTGGCTTCCATAAACACAGTTTTAACAGTGAGTCTGTAAGCGACTGTGGAGGCCAATTCTGGATCCACATGTCCTTCCACAGTGGGGACATAGGTTTCCGGGCGGGAGTTGATCATGGTGAGGGTTTGCCAAGCGTGCCTTCCTCTTAGCACATTTCTCCCTTTCATCCTGAGTTTAAGCAGCTTCAAAGTCCATGACACCTTTGGTAAAGGTTGTTCTCCAATTGGAGAGCTCGCAGGCCAGTGTTTTCCCAGTTGCCAGTGTTTATACTACATTTGTTTAGATTTACCTTCAGAGAGTCTTTAAACCTCTTTTGTTGATCACCAGCATTGCACTTTCCATTTTTAAATTCAGAATAGAATACAGTGGTACCTCGGGTTAAGAACTTAATTTGTTCTGGAGGTCCGTTCTTAACCTGAAACTGTTCTTAACCTGAGGTACCACTTTAGCTAATGGGCCTCCCGCTGCCGCCGCGCTGCCGCCACGTTGCCGCCGCACAATTTCTGTTCTCATCCTGAAGCAAAGTTCTTAACCCAAGGCACTATTTCTGGGTTAGCGGAGTCTGTAACCTGAAGCATCTGTACACTGAAGTGTCTGTAACCCGAGGTACCACTGTAGTTGCTTTGGAAGACCGTAATCAGGAATCCACACAACATGGCCAGTCCAACGAAGTTCATGTTGAAGAATCATTGCTTCGACACTGGTGATCTTTGCTTCTTTCAGTCCACTAAACACTACACCACACTGCCTCTCTTTGTAATATGCTATGGGATGTCCACTAGAACATCAGCCCAGTGGAGTGTGATTCATAAGCAAACACTTCCTCCAGCTGCCTGCTTCTCTGCTAATTAGGAAGTGGGTCTGGGAGCTCTTAGCAACCTTCACTGGGTTGCAGAAGTTGCTGACTGGTAAATGCTGACTCTGAGGCAGCTGATCTGTGATGCTCCCAGAAAGCTATTTAAGGCTGGCTCTACAGACAAGGCAGAAGGAGGAAGCAATGTGGTAATGAAGTCCCAAGGCAGTAGAACGAACTGCATACCATCTTAGAAGTTAGTGA